ACGAAATAAAACTTTATCTACGAAGTAGCGGCCCGGAAAAAATGGCAAGTTGAAAAAAATAGCAGTTTTAACGTACATTCTTTGTTAAGATTATCCTTAATTCATTCCAACTCGAAGTTTGCTGCATTTTGTAGAATTCTCTTTGCTGCTGAATTCCTAGTCGATTATCGATTAAGGGGGTGGGGTCTAGCCTCCAGAAAAATTTCCACATTTACGAACGGATCTTTCTGAAACTTCACACATATATGTAAAACCGAAAAACAAACACATTTTGTTCGTATATTTTTTTTTGGAAAAATTGATAGAAAACGTGAAATTCATAGAAAACGGACACAAATGGGGGTGCTTTAAAATTCTATCTCCTCCTAGAGTTTTAAAGCTAAAGCAATGAGACATGCACCATTCGATTCGTAAAGACCATACCAATCGAGTAACGAAGCTCGATTTTTTATTTTTGCCTCAGTTTTTTACACGCATTTTTCCTTTTTCTTCTTATTTTTTTCTCATTTTCTTCAAATTTCCCCTTTCCCCTCATTTAGAATCCAAATTATGCACAAATCTAAATAAGAGGCTTCATTAATCGATAGGTATGGTCTTTACGAATCGAATGGTATATGTCTCATTACTGTAGCTTCAAAACTCTAGGAGGAGATAGTTTTGCCGTAATAATAAGTGTGAATGTTCAGTACAGCCCGACAAAGTCCCGCGCGCATTGCAATAGGCAGTCAATGTAGCAAGGATACGAAACTAAACGTTACTGGAGCTCGATTCCACTCAAGTATGGTGGGAGCGACTGCATGCAAATCTCCTCGTGCGAAGCCCGGCGGATTACTGAGCGTTTCCTCAAGCAGGCACTGTATATAAAGTGTTATGAACCGAATTAACTCCTATCTAATTTGGTAAAGAACGTCCCCACCCTCCCCCTTTCATGATCTGTCCTGTACGCATAAATCAACGTACAGATATTGTAATAGTACCGTTGGATAAAGCAGAATTTCAGCTTTATTAAGATGAGACTAAACGGGTAACTAAGCTGCACCTCAAGCAAACACTGTGTTTAAAGTGCTGGGAACCGAATTACCTCCTATCTAATTTGTTGAAGAACTACCCCACCCTCCTCCCTTTCATGATCTGTCCTGAACGCATAAATCAACGTACAGAGATGGTAATGGTACCGTTGGGCAGACTGTAAGCTTTAAGATGAGTATAAAACCTAAAAACACCAAATTTATGACTAGGCCAGACCCCCCCTTAAAAGAGATCCAGAATAGTTTGAGGAGAAAATAATCTAAGTTTGCTCTTCCGAGGTGCAAAATTATTTTTTGGAGTAACTGCTTCATGTGGATCTTGAGAGGCGTTCCAACTGTTAACGAAAAATGTGATTTTTTCAAATTTTCGTGAATTTATGCCTATTGGGTTCAAAAGTATTTTTATCATTTAGTTTTCCTCCTTTGCAATTAGCCAAAAGTTTCGAAGCAACAGAATAGCTTTATTTTTTTAAACGGCTCTAGAGGGTAAGAAAGTTGATAGTTATTTTGTCTTGGCCTAGAAATAAACCTATAATGTCGAATGATTTTTGACTTTATTTATATAAGGTCACATATACTAGATTATCTTGCACAGAGCGCTCATTCTGGCTGAAAAAAAAAAAATTTCATAGATATTGCTAGACTAGCCTCACCAAAAAATGTCCATTCATGATTGAGTCAAAAATTAGTTTTGCAAAACGATGAAGTGCATTATTTTCAGAATAAACTAGGCTGAGGAAGATTGATGAACTTAGTGGTATTCATGAAGCTTAATCAAATATTTTTTCATTACTTAATGCAAAATTATTATAATGCAAAGCCTGAAAATATTTATCTTAACTGCTCACATGCAGAATTTTGCGAGTACAATTCAGTCGTTAACTTAAACATGTTGGACGATCTTTGTATGAATATTATTGAAATCTCGCCCTTCCGAGAGCTGCATTGCGCTATGCGCAGATACCGCAAGAGGAAAAACGTGACTAAATTTAATCAAAGGCAGCCATGATGAAAGCCTGGGGCAAAAATAGGAAGGAACTAGGAAATATTTCCTAAATATTCAAGTTATAGTCAAGGCAAGGCACAGAGAGCTTTTCGATGCATGACTGACTAGCTCTCCAGCAATTCGTGGTTAAGCTCGTGCCTGATAAAAACTATCTATTTTGGGCTTCCCTCTTGTACTTTGTGTTCTCTTCAAAAACGAAAAACTCTACCTGCAGACGCTTTTGTGTTGATTCAGATGCATAAACTGCCTGAATTATGGGTAATATCTCTTGCTGTTTAGACCAAAAACAAAATGTTTCCTAGTGATTTAAAACAATCCTGTACTTCAGAAGAAACAGTTTTTTAAATAACTCTTCTTTACTTAATGCAGTGAATTTTAAATTCCACTGTCTGCTCAAAAAACTTTTCAAAAGCGCAACCCTATCTATACTATTTTTTGTTTCGTACCTTAATCTTCCAGTGTTTCATTTTTATGAACGACTGAACCGATGCAGTTGTATAACCAGAGTTCATAACACTTTGAGTGCTTATGCTGACGATTTCCATTTACTAGGGCTATGTTGAAACAAAATTTTGGTTATCATCATGTTTGTAAAGCACTTATAGTTGTTAACAATTATATATCATCACTTGTGTTACTGGTTCTCATTCAATGTGTTGTTTTTGTTACCTAAAACGGAAGATACAATACATAACTAAATATTACAAGATTTATTATCATTTTGATACATAGATCGCTCGAAAGTTGTGGCATCTACCTCTGATCCTGTAAACAAATGAACAATTAAAAATCTTCGAAGAAGTTTGGTTTCGCTATTGTACCTGATACAATTGTGCGCAAAAATAGTGATCATGTATGGTAGACTTGTCAAGAATATTATCACAAACGTGGTTTGCTTTCAGGTTGTCCTGATTATTTATTTTCAAGGGATATTCAGAATATTACAGCTTCACACCAGTCATCCGGAAAGACACGTTGCGGCAGAAAAACCCCCTTTCGTCTTAATTATTTGCAACGGTGAGCATTTATGATATTTACGGACTAATTAAATACTTTCAATTTTAATTATCTTATTACGCTTGGCAATGAATTTATTCAAGAGGCTTGTCGAAAAAGCCTTCTCTTAAGAGCAAGTTAGGTGGATATTCCGCTTAAGACGATATAAATGCGATGACATTGTCGCTCCCTCTAGGGTGTTGATTATGCCAGATTAGACGTCCTGAATAGTGTTTTCATACGGAAATTTTTTATACATACGATTCAAGACAATTTATTGTACAGGTTTACTCTTAGTTACTTCCTGAGAAAGATTATAAAATAACGATCCTTACGTGTTGGAAGTTCAAGATTTGTAGCACCTACTCCTCCATTGGAAGCGCCTTTCTGATTGCTTTGCTGCTCTCTCATGTCATCGATCTTTTCCCCATCGTACGTGGCTATTAATTTTTGATGAAATGAATCATTCTGAGGATATTTTTATCAACTGACTAAATTTGCAATTTATTATCATTACACCATTTTTCGAATACGAATAACACTTCAATGAATAGCGTAGAGAGACAGAGAGATCTGCTATACCCTCTGTTTTTAGTGGGTATATATAGTCGGCAGAAGACTCGTTAAAATGTACGCACCCCTCTTCTAATTTACACTAAAGTTCGCGCGTAACTACAAAAAAATATCAAACCTAATTGATGCAATTTTCACTAGCAGACCAGGGGCCGTACTTTCAAAACATTCGTAGCGACTTAAGACAACGTAAGTCCGCTAAGTGCACGTAACCACATTAGTTGTTGCCTTCAAAACATTTCCGCGCCGAGCTACGTCCGAGAAGTTGTGCACAACTTTACGCCGGATAAAAGGAGCCGTACGCACAACTCCTGAGATGGCGAAGCCGCCAAAGCAATTGGGAATCACTGATTTGCAAACTGCATAGTGACTTTTTTTTAATCAATTCCTCGCCAAGTCGAATTTTGTGCTATTACTATTAGTGAATCAATTTTATTAGTATCGACTATTCAGTGTTGGGTTCGGAGGGGAAGGCCAACCTCAATCTTTAATCGTGATAAATAAGCAAAGTTCCAAGGCTAAATTTCCAGTGAATATTGTGACATTACCAATTGCCATACAATAAATTTTTTTTATTTATTGAATGTAATGACCACTCGAATAAAAAATTGGCCTATCAATCATTGTTCCTAACTTTTATGATTTTTTTTTCCTGAGGCTTCAATTTGAGTGTGAAGAAGGCTAGCCGCTAGAGTAGATGCAGACAGATCTCTACTACTTTAGTCTACTTATAATTTCAAATTGTGATGAAAATCTAGGAGGCTAGGTGAATCTCTTGTATCATCAGTATTTATTAGATATATTCATCTTCACTTCATCTAAACTATACCAATAATACCATGGATGTGGAACTGGGAACATAAGATAAGGCCTGTCTCTTATACACATCTAGATGTGTATAAGAGACAGGGTATAGGATCATCATTTACATTTCCTACCCAAGTCTAAAAATCTTTATTTGTGCTGCATACATTGAGTAGGTATCTAATAATCAGGTGTCCTCCCTATATACCCCATCAGGAGGAAACCTTCAATATGATCCTCTAAAATGTGCCAAGATTACTGCAGCCTGTTTGCTACTCCATAACCGATGCATCAAACGAAGTATCCCAAATCCTGCTGATGATCATGCTGAGGAGCATATGGACTTAGAGCATCAAGAGCAGGTTGAAGCACACCAAGCACAAGACCAAGGTGAAGGAGCCAGAGGTCTTGCTAGACAGGTTAGCCGTGCAATTGTTGAAAACTTCTTTTAACACTGGAATTAACTGAGAGTTGGTTGTAAGTTCACAATTAACTTTTTATTGGCCTTTTCCTGTTTTAACAGGGCATCTATATTTTGTTCATTACCTTCATGATAATTACAATATAAAGTTTGATAACGACATGTAGTGAATTCCATCATGATGCTAGGAAAATAATGAATTGCGCAAGTAAATCATATTTATATTTATGGGGATACAAAATCCTTTTTCCTTCATACAAAAAGTAGAGACAATATTTGTCTTTTATTTATAAATCATCACGCTTCTAAGATTGAGCCCAAAATAAACAAATTTGAAAATTTCATCTACGTCAGGTTTCTCAGAAAATAAAGTTGAATAAAATTGATGTTCATGAAATCATTGACTCCTTAACCCTTCTGTTGACCGACTTGGAAATATTAAAAATGAATAGCTATTAAAAAAGCCTCAAACACAAACTGGTACCTCAAAGAGCAATACTTTTCAGACTGAGTGAACATGTGTAGAATATCACAAAAATAACTGTTAAAAGTTGATACCACCTTATTAAAAAAATATGGCAAATACAAGATCATGAAAAAAAAGTTGTATGCCCATTCATTGGTTTTCAAGAGGCTGAGTAATTACAATAGCATTGGCAATCCGCACCACAGCTGCTGTTAGCTCTGAAAGTGATGCAGCCATGCTTTCTGTATTTGCTGCCATGCTTTCTGTATATGCTAATATTCCCCTTTAAACATTCAACATTTCCTGAACCATTGTGTGCTTTGGTGCCTCATTGCTGCGCCTCTTCCTTTTGTGAGTTCCACAAGAAACATTTTCAGAAATTCTTGAGGTTCCAGGCTTGGTAGGGCTGGAGGTCACCTGTTCCACAGGGTTGCAAACCCTAGGTTCTTCCGTATGAACAGATTCTACCAGATGCACAGGTTCTACCAGATGCACAGGTTCTACCAGATGCACAGGTTCAGGTTCTTCCACATAAACAAGGCAAGGTTCATTAGCCTCCTCGTAATGTTCTATATGAACTGGAAAAGAATAGAAACAGACATTAAAATATGAAAAATGGGATTTCTTCCTCGGCAAGCACTTTTTCAATTGAGAACTAAATTTAGTATGGTTGAAAAATCTAATTTCATTAATTGCATCAAATTCATATGAAACTAGTGATTATCAGAAGTAATAAATGCAAATGAATTAAAATTCTAAGGGACAATTATCTTCTACTCTCATAACAATGGAATTTGGAAGATGCTACACCTTCTGTACTCACCTGCATCTGGAACCTCAACTTCACTTTCAGGAATTGGTAACCCAAAGACGGCGGTTCTTGACAGGAGAGGTAACATGGCCTCTTCAATATTGGAATATTTGAACTTCGCAGGATGGCCTCCACCTATTTATATGATAGGATAAGAAGGAACAAATATAAAAAAATTCGAGTTGATATCTTTTAACTTAGGTTAAGAATTGAATCAGGGAACCAGTATCAATGACATATTTTTCAATATGAAAAATGCACAGATGGTGAAAGGTTTCTCTATATGTATATGTTTTTGTGTGCATTATTTCTTTTTGAACATAACCACCTACCAATCAGTTTAAGTTGAAATATAAGGATTATTATAGAATTGAAGACTATGTTTGAAGTCATGCAGGAAAAAAACTATGTGGTTTTTGGAAATGAAGGGATATTTATTAATTAATTTTATTTGCATATAGGATTTGAGGCAAATGGATATGAGAAAATGCAAAATTATTTAGGCTCTGGCAGTTTTTGGCTCATTCTAGGATGGGTTTTGCTATGCTCTTCTTTTTTGGGTAGAGACTAGAAAAGTAATTTTTGCAAGGGAATATCAAGAAATGTAGAATTATATATTGGCTTTCAGTGAACATGAAAGGATTGAAATGAACCCTGCTGTCAATAAAATCATCTCTCTTTGCAAATCCAAACTTTACCATTAAAGTGATGAATAGAAATTAAAGTACAGCCTGTAAATTCACTTTGGTGCTTGGAATTTATTATAGATATATATATAAATTATAAAAATGGTCAATAGATATTTATAGGTAGGTAAAAAGTTGGTAATTGAAATGAGCATTAAATGACCCAAGAAAAACACTTACCAGTTGTTCCAGTATATTTATTTTCTACTGCCACTTTCTTCTTCAAATGTGTTCTCAAGTCGTAAAACTTTTTGCGTACTTCAGCCACATCTCTCTTCACAATTGATACACAGTTTACACTATCGGCCACTGCTTGCCACTGCATCAGCTTAACTTTTGCAGTTATATTCTCATTAAACTTGCCCAAGAGAATCTCTTTCCTTTCAAAAACTGCAGTTACTATTGCCAAAATTTCATCATCACTGAAATTTGGTCGTCTTCTTTTTTGGTCCATTTTTCAAACTTCAAACCTGTTCCTTGAAATTCACACTTTTAATTTTAAATTTGGTTTATTTTTATCAAGAATTGTCAATGATTCAAGTGTTTTGCCCAAAGTTTAAGCTAATAACTTTTTCTAGATTAAACTATGTTATTGCAATTTAGCCTGTGAATTCTGCGAGAATAGTTCAAGTTGATTTAATCATTGAGAAACATTGCACACGAGTAATTAACTCATTGCATATAATAAACTATCAGTTGAAATAAAAATTAATATTAGAAATTTTGAAAATGCATTAATTATAATAAAAATTATAATAAATCATAATACCTCATCTGCTAAAAACATATTTTTAAAAATTATGGTTATAAAGTAAACTTTCATCTATAAGACATAGGTAACTACTTAGCAGCTTTGCAGGAAATTTTGCAGCCAGCAGCCTGCATCTAATGATCTACACTGCTACAGCACTAAACTTGCTACAATGCTACTCATCAATAAGTACCATATAAAACTTTTCAATCATAATTTGTAAGGTTCAATCGCCACATACAAACTAATTAGAATTTGCTAATAATGCAAAAAAGTTTTGGCATTGGTTTTGTTCTGTTAATGATGCAGTAGCAAAGTTTAGTTGGTGTAAAAAAAAAAAACAAGTTATTTGCCACTTCGTTATGTCTATATTATTTTCAATCTACAGAGTACAGATAAGAATAACATATTATTTTAGTGGAAAAGTATATACTTTTTATTTTAAACCAAGTTAAAAAAAATCACTTTTTCCACATAGCTACATTGCTTGCGGTTGCAGATTAAATAAACCATTTAGTATCAAGAAAACACTTTTGCAATGCTGATAGCTGCTTAGAAATTTTTGGAACTAATTTTCAAACCTAATTAGTACATGAAATAAATCCAATTCTTAGTCATGAGCAAATTATCTGTGGTCAAAACTCACAAGTCACAAATCACAACAAGTGTCAAGTGATACGCAGTAACTAGGCAAGGCAACCTGTCCCTCTCATGGGGATCTTCAAAAAATTATAGTTAGACACTAGACAGTTCATAAAGTAAAAGTCACATGAAAATTATTATTTCGCTATGCAACCAAGGGATTCACCGATGCTAAATTTGAGCAATGCTGTCAAAATGTTACTACAAGTGATAAAAATTGTGAAATCACGATACACCGATGATGCACGTAAGACGACTAAAAAGTAAACAAAACCGAGCACGCTGATTGGCTACTTGCCGGAGCGTTTCGAAAGTACCAACTTAGTTACGTATTGCGTACAAAAGTTTTGAAAGTGCCAAAAATAGCTGTGCGCACGCATGACGTAACTTCTTGTACGTAAGCATAAGAAGTTACGTTCACTTAGCGATGTTTTGAAAGTACCTGCCCTAGTTAGCTATGAGTCCACAGTGTCACCGAGAGCTTGCCTTGGACTCTGAGTCGGCAGAAATCAGCTTATGTGTCACAAGGACGAACCCAATGAACGGAAGAAAGTAGCATTGAATACCCCGAAGTGTTATGAAAACCACGAGGTGTATTCCCATTGGAGATTTCCTCCATAATTGTGTTGGAGATGGACTTGTTCTTTTCTTTTAAAAGTACCATACTCCGGTTTTTCCTACTTTTAAGTGAAGGAACTGTATACTTATATATTAATCAATTAATTGCGATATAACTTTCATTACTGTATACTTAAGGTATGAGATACGATTTGACCGGAGGTTCTGAACAAGATGTGTTTTTTGATTTTGTGTCAATACGATCGGGACGATCTTTCCGGAAGAGGGGAGGTGTCCGGAGACAATTCACTTGGCCTGATAGAGATTGAGGACGAGTCAACATCTGATAGACACGTGATAGATCACGCGATCAAGACCGCAGTAGTGGGCGGAAGCGAACGTTATAAAAGGGCTAGCAACCTTAAGCAAAGCCCCCAGTAGCTGATAAGCACTCCTCCGTGTAGCGTGTAGTTTAAGTCTCCGACCTTACGGTCGATGCCGTAGCTTATTCTTCTGTATCGCAACTCTGTATTACCACCCCGTATACAAGATACGTTATCTGGACTTATGTGTCTTACTTATCCCTCACTACCTTAGTCAACGAAACCCGATCCTCAGGTAGAGCTTAATATAATGAGTTCAATGTCTTGAGCGCAACTTCGGACAGTTATCCACAAGGAAAAAAGAACCTTGTGCAATTTCTGAGCAGCAACAGCAGGCTTCAGCAGCAGAGGCTTTGTGACAGTAGAACAGTAGCATCTGATATGGACTAAAGTTAAATGTTATTCTTCTTCAAGAAGGTATAGCCAGAATTTTGCTTAGTACATTAAAATTATCATAGTAAAACTTGAAAAAATCATGATCTGGCTCATGATTTTTGCAATAAGTAGATGAAGTTGGTTCATACAATTTTCACTTTAATTTTGTTATGATTAGGTCTACAGCCATTTTCATGGGGTTACGTAGTTGCTATTGCCTGTCTTGAGAGAATTTCCTGCCCATGCAACCTAATACTTAATTATGACATTGCTCTATTTCAGCTCTAAAATTGCTGTGAATTATTGAAAAAATTATCATAAGCTTTGGTATGGGAAGTATTTGAATGAAGAAGACAAGTAACTTGCTAGAAATGATCAAGGTTCAGTGAAGTGCTGTCATGCTGCAGATGTAGGAACTCATTACTTAAAACATTTTGAAGAAGATAGTGACTTTTTAAATAATTTTGTTGAAAATTCTGTCAAGTTCATCTTATAGAGATGTCATGACTAACAAGTTAACAACACTGGCATAAGCACAACCCAAAACAGTTCCACATAACCTTACCTAAAAAATTAAAAGATTACTTTTTATAACATTGAAAACACATTTAAAACATTACTTTTAAATTACCTGCATATGTCAGTAGTTTCTTCAAAGTTGCGAGATCACTTGCCATTATTGCATGATGAAGAGCAGTGTATCCTTGCTCATCAGTTGTCAATAGGCTTTGTTCAATATCATCATCATAACCTTGAGAAGCCATTGCTTTTTGGAGCAGAATATTATGGATTTTTTATATTTATTAGAAATGCTTTTCCACTGATACCTAGCAAATAGAAAAATAATAGTGAGATGAAAAATGCTGGGAGGAAAAACAGGTAGAGATAAGTTAGCAAGGATTCTGCATTTTTTTCACAGCATTGACAAGTAAATTCAAATTTATTAGCATAGCAAAGTCAGCCTAGATGTTGATTAGGTCGGTCAGGGCAACCCAACTCCCAACAGATAATCTCATTCACTCCAGCCATTACCTGCCACTGACACTCTGATCACACTCTTGGATGGACCACCATGACTACTGTATCATATGATCACCTCCTGAATTACACCAACACGAAAAGTCATCTACTGAGCTAACTGCAGCCCCAAAAACACTATCATGAACTTTGCCAAAGCAAACTAGAAGAATTACAATGCCAAAACTAAAGCTGCCTTCAAAACAGCTAAATTAAGTAAAATATTGCAACACTAAGAATAGTGGGAAAAGTTCACCATTTTTTCTATCTATCTCGCATAAAGCAAGTTTGGAAATTATACATTTACCACCTCTAAAAAATTCCTGAAAAATAAGAGGGAAAAGTGAGATTTTGGAAGTAAAAAGTTGCACACAGGAGTTGGCTTAAAAGCACGACTGACAAAATTTGCACAGCTCATTAAAAAAAGCAGCCATTTCTGCATGGTGGGGCAATAAGGGACATCCTTCCAGGGTAATGAGGGACACCCCCTAAAACACATTTACAGGAGAACCTTGGTTAGCAAAGGCTATAGTTAATGAAAAAATCAATTAACAACAAAAATTTTGATAACATTTACCTTGCCCAGCAAAAAAAATTCTCTTAATGAAAAATTAATGCATCATTAGTCATCACAAAATTGTGCATGGAATGTCATATGGTAGACTTGTGCACCAGGAACATAGAATGAAAAGTAATTAACCTAAACAATTATTCATTTCTCCAAAAAATATGATTGTTTTCACTAAAATATTCCTTCCTGTTTCAGGTATGTTATTACAAATTTTTTTTAATAGTGAATTCACTTGACCCAATTAAAATGGTGTGAAATTACAAGCTGTCCTGTAAGCTTGAAGATACAGAAGAAATGCTATATGGTTGCTGATATGAAGCTTGCAGTGGACAAGGTTGTTGTAAATGCACAAATGCATGTCCCTGGATATGGTAATATATCAATGAAGAAAAAAAAGTAAAAATCCCAGAAAATGTCATTTAATTCATATTTACATCATCTACAAAGGAAGAGTAGGAGCTCAGAGTACTGTTAGTAATGGATGAGTACACTCAGCATGCTTCAAGCATTTTACAATTAAGTTTTATTTCAAGTGCTCCTTATTGCCCCATTCCCAGGGGTGATTTGGAAGGCTTATATTTTGCGTCTGGCACCTTACAAATAGCATTCAGAATTTTTTCAGACATGCCATTCAATAGCCCTTGGCAGTTGGTAATACCTTTAAAATGAGCCCAACTTTGTTTATGAAATGTTTAATGGTAAGAAGTTATCAACAAAAAACACTCAAAACTGGCACTCATTATCTTGTTTGACGGTATCTCCATAACTTAACCAACCTGTCAACAGCTGAACAACAATCACATCAAATTATAATCAGATCAAGCTTCCATACAAACACTTGTGCCCAAAATTATTCATACCACAATATCATTCTGACAAATTACAAGAAATAGACCAAAAAATAATTATCTAAAACTTGAAGAGTTGTATACCATTTATGAACCATGCAACACTTATTTAAAAACCAAGAAACATTATTTTTTCAGTTTTGTAAAAATATACAGAGGAAAGATAAAATAATTCATTTTCAAATTTAT